AGGCATTAATATATAATTAGTGCCCGCTAGTTCCGAGTTTTACTGCTAAAATATTTAAAAGAAGGCCCTTTCCTAGTACGAGATTATAGGGACGAGATATTGAAACGGTGACCAATTTGAGAAAGGGTTCTGTTGTATGCCACCAAAAGATAATTAGCTTGCGCTAGGCTCTATTCAAACATCAGCGTCGCTTCCCATAATTCATGAGCGCGGATGCCATATGTAAAATTTGTTAGCCAGTAACTCTTTCTACCCGGGCAACACTATGTGTTATGTCACGTGGTACGACACGTGTGTATAAACAACCTTACACATAAATACAGATAACTTCAGCACAGACTCGCAGCACAAGCGCACGGATAACGCAAACACGCTCAATACAACTACCTGCAAAATGCGAACCAAGTCGGTTGTGATTTACTTTGTTGTTGCTTTAGCAGCGATAGCACGGAACATGTATCTAGGTGAGTACGTACGTTTGTAACGTCGCGTGTTTCAGTGTGTAGGCTGATTGTGCATAGAGGTTCCGTTATCAGGTTAAATCTGAAATGAAGCATGCAATTTATACACAAATTTCATTGTTATGTGCTGTATTATTGTTGTGTGTTGTTATGTGTTTTGTTGTTGTGTGTTGTGTTTTGTGTGTTGTTGTTGTTGTTGTTGTTTTTTATTTGTTTTTGCAGTATGTGCGGTGAAAAACGTGTATTACGTTGTTTGTTGTTTGTGTTGTTTGTTGTTTACGTGTGTTTGTGCGTTAGTTGCGTAGTCGTTTATGTGTTCGACTGTTAGTATTGTCTTACAGTTATGTGTGAATGCAGCTTATATTCTAAAGAAAACACGATGCGCCTAGACAGCAGAATGGTGGCCTTAATGTAATTCGCAGTAGGTGAGGCCTTGTAATTAGAAATAGGCGCGTGTCCTTGGAATTAGCAGTAGGTGAGCCCTTGTAATTAGCAATAGGTGAGCCCAATTGTAATTAGCAATAGGCGTGTCCTTGTAATTAGCAGTAGGTGTGGTCCAATGAGATAGACGCGACAGGTGTGATCATCCCTCCCTAATTAAAATAAAGCATCGATATGATGGATCGATCGCCTACTTAAACCACCGTCCAGCCTGGCATTCCGGTAACAATATAGCAGTGTAGCTGTAAGTCTAAGCTTGTAGCAGTGTAAGCTTGTAGCAGTGTAAGCTTGTAGCCGTATAAGCTTGTAGCGGTGTAAGCTTGTAGCAGTTTAAGCTTGTAGCAGTGTAAGCTTGTAGCAGTGTAAGCTTGTAGCAGTGTAAGCTTATAGCAGTGTAAGCTTGTAGCAGTGTAACTTACATGAGCGCATACATTTGAAAGTCATAAAAAGTGTCTCTAATTGTGTCCGCAATTCTGTTGTTGAATATCAACTCAGTACTTTATACTCATGTAGTGTAAACAACGTAGTTCATATGATGGCAAATAGAGATAGTACCTGTGACAACGACCAGGTAAATAATCTGATTATAACTTTGTCAGAAGAATCTATCCAGAAGGTATTGGAAGGCCAACATAGAAATAAGCATGTTTAGAGATCCATTGTTGGTAAAATCGCTCAATTGGCTTATACTTCCATGGCCTGTACAGAGAAGCTGAATCAAGCCGAAACGCAAAACGCAGGAAGATGCATGTATTAATTAAGCATTCATCTGATAACGAAACCTCTATGCACAATCTGCCTACACACTGAAACACGCGACGTTACAAACGTACTCACCTAGATACATGTTCCATGCTATCGCTGCTAAAACAACAGCAAAGTGAATCACAACCGACTTGGTTCGCATTTTTGCAAGTTGTTGTGTAGAGCGGGTTTGCGTTATCCGTGCGCTTGTGCTGCGAGTCTGTGCTGGAACTATTTGTATGAATATTTACAGCTATTTATGTTTCCTTGTAATACAACAGGACGCAACACATGTGTTGCCCGGGGAGAGAGATGTCTAATAATGTCTGAATACTGTTCCCTTATATGTTCCAATAGATTCATAGTCAACTCATTATACAGACGTACTCTTAGTGAAAAGCTGTTGCTTAGTGATATCGGTGTGTAGTTTCCTGTTACAGTGAAGAGTGACTGTTGGATCATTAATGGCGTAATGAAAGGTATTGTGACTCTCTAGCATTCGGTGCTGGTAAATTATGGAAACGTTGTGCGAAGTTTTAGTCTCATAATATATCAGGATAATAATCTATAATCAATAATCAATAAGAATAATATATCAGGAAGAGGCGGATAGATAACAAACGTGAAGTGATCGCATAGTAGGCTTACGTGAATGCGTGCGTGCGTGCGTGCGTGCGTGCGTGCGTCCGTGCGTGCGCGCGTGTGTCTGCGTGCGTGCGTTTATGCACGCGTACGTGTGTGTGTTGTGCGACCGTTTGGGCACATATGTATATGCGTGCACGTATTATATGCATGCGTGAGTGTTAGATAAATGACGATGAAATGCAGTAAAACATTAAAATGCCCAACTTTTTCAGGGTGGCAGCACGGTCGCGGGTGTCAATGGCGTCGTTCAAATTTCGTAGCGTTGATGTATAATTAATTATAACAATTAAATTAGGTATCTGGTAACAAGTACGTATGGGTATAGAAGATTTGTTATACAGTAAGTTCAGTTGTATGCAGTAAAATCCTAGAGTCTAGTATCCCTTTAACTAACAAAGATAACAGCACACGTTTCAATCTACCGACATCATCGTCTGCAGCTATCAACGCTCCATGTTCCAGCCGCTGGACGGTATGGACAAACCACACATCACTGTGGAGGACGTCGGGGAGATCAGCAGAACGACGAATGCCGCAGCATCTGATTAATCTCTTAACTGGGACGGTTAAGTAACGATCGAGCTTAACGAAACCCTAATGTGAAGAGCTACCATCTTCAGCGGTCACGCCGATTCTCGACTCGGATAGGACGCTATGATACAGCATTGCCACTATTCTATATGAGTAGTTACGTTTACATTGTATCTGGATTTATTAAAGTGTGTTTTGTAATCAGTCAGGAGACTACGAAGCCAATTAGATTACCGGTTTAATCGACTTGAATATGGCGGGGTGAAATGTGGCGCTGGAAAACACTGCGCCATAGCATGGGAGATGATGTAATCGGATGACTCATGATCACATGTCAAAACACGTTTGCACACGGGTCAGCATAATTATACAAATCAATACGGCACGTCGCATGCTCACTGGACAATGAGCTGACACATCATGGAATAATGAGATGCCTATATAAGGGCGAGGAAAAGAGGATTAGAGGAGTCTGGGTGTGGCACTCGCCGGGAGGCCCTGTGCGTGTCTATGTAGTTATGTGACATATGAATTACAGATGTTACATAAATTAGTTATAGAGACGCGGAGTGCGGCTAGACTCGGGCTTGTTTTAGTGGTAGTCTATGTAGACAGAGCGTCGCGCATCTTGTGCCGCTAGATTGATGTTATAGGGAGAATGATAAACGTGTTTTAGGTCGGGCGTTTCTAGGGTCATTGTGAAATGGAGGTAGGACGCGGTCTGGGAGAACGGGTGACATGTGCGCTCAGGATGTAGGGGTTTTGGCGGTAATATATAGGAGGTTAGGAAAGATTGAGCAGGAGATAGAGAC